ATAATCATACGGTATACTATGCAGGGAAATAGAGGAAGAATGGTGTTGCATTCATAGTTCAAAAGTCAATTTCAAATTTCATCCTGAAATACAATGTGGTGAGTGATAGAATAACATCCATATGCATACAAGGAAGACCCATTAACATGACCATTATTCAAATATATGCTTCTACATCTAGACCCAAAGAGGAAGAAACAGATTTTTTTTTTAAATTTTTTATTTTTAATTTTTTTTTTTACAGAGGTTTTGGATTTCCATTCATTCATTGCCGCAATTTTCTCCCTTCCCACCCCTCCCCACCAGCTTGCTTTCCCCTCCGAAGAGAGGGGGGAAAAAAAAGAAAAAGAAAAAAATTCCTTCATTAGTATACAATTCCCACATCCCTTCCCCCCACCCCCCACCCCGAGTACACTTCTCTATGCAACCTTAATTCTGGATTCCTGTGCTAACCATAATACTCAACCATATATCACTTCTAATCTGTTCTTTCCCACATCTGTTTCAATACAATATACATAATTTATCCAGTTTTTTTCTGTCATACCCCCACCCTGATGTCAGACCCATTCTACAACAGTGGCACCATGCAGTATTTGTCCCTTTGTGACTGAGATATTTCACTCAGCATAATGCCCTCCAGGGTCACCCACTTTGAATAATATTGCATGAGTTCCTTGTTTTTCAATGCTGCGTAGTATTCCATTGTGTGGATATACCACAGCTTCTCTATCCATTCGTTTGTTGATGGGCCCTTAGGCTGTTCCAACTCTTTGCTATTGTAAACAAAGCTGCAATAAACATGGGTGTGCATATATCTGCTTGGATGGCAGACATGGTCTCTCTGGGGTATATTCCCAGTAATGGGATTTCTGGGTCAAATGGTATCTCTGTTTGCAATTTTTTGAGAAAAACGCCACACTGCCTTCCACAATGGTTCCACCATCTTACATTCCCACCAACAGTGAATAAGAGTTCCAGTTTCTCCACATCCTCGCCAGCATTTGTTGCTTGCAGATTTTTTTTTACCAAATTTACAGCCCAAAATTGACTGAATGCAATCAAGATGCATTAATGATAACTGGTGACTGGAATGCAAAAGTGGAAAACAGTGAAGAAGGAATAGTAGTTGGAAAATATGGGCCTGGTGATAAAAATGAGGCTGGAAATACAATGACTGAATTTCGTATTTACAATGATTTATTCATTGCAAATAATTTTTTTAAAAGACACAAATGATGACTTTACACATGTATCTCACGTGATGGGCTGCATGTGAATCAGAGTGACTACATTTGTGGAAAAATTGTTGGAGAAGCTCAATATAAACAATCAAAACTAGGCTAGGGGTGTACTGTGATTTAGATCATCAACTACTCATATGTAAGTTCAAACTGAGGCCAAAGAAAATGAAAATAAGTCCACAGGAACCAATATATGATCTTGAATCAATTCCATCTGAATTTCAAGATCATCTTAAGAATAGGTTTGAGGCATTGAACACCAATGATTGAAGACCAGATGAGTTGTGGGATGATACTAAGGATATCATCCATCAAGAAAGTAAAAAGTCATTACAAAAACAAAGGAAAAAGAAAAAACCGAAATACATGTCAGAATAGACTCTAAATATTGTACTTTAGCATCAAAGAAGCCAAAACAAAAGGAAAATATGTCAAAGTGAAACAACTGAACAGAAGATTTTAAAGGACAGCTCGGGAGGACAAAGCAAAGTGGTGTTACAGTGGAATGTGTAGAGCTGGAATTGGAGAATAAAAAGGGAAGAACTTGCTCTACATTTCTCAAGCTGAAAGAGCTGAAAAACTTAAGCCTTATGTCACAATATTGAAAGATGTTATGGGCAATGTATTGAATGACCCAGAATGCATCAAAAGAAGATGGAGGGGAATACATGGAGTCATTGTACCAGAATGCATTGATTGACAATGAAAAATTTCAGGAAGTACCATATGAACAGGAGCCTATAGTAATAAAGGAAGAAGCAGAAGCTGCACTGAAAGCATTGGGGGGGCAAAAAAAAAGGCCCTACAAATCAATGGGATACCAACTGACTTATTTCAATTAACAGATGCAGCCTTGCATGTGCTTACTAGTCTATGCCAGCAAATTTGGAGGACAGCTTTCTGGGCACCAGATTGGAGGAGGTCTATATTTGTTCCCATTCCCAAGATAGGTGATCCAACTGAATGTGGAAACTACTAAATAATATCATTAATCTCACATGTAACCAAAATACTGCTGAAGATCATTGAAAAATGGCTAGAACAGTACAGGGGGAAGTTCTCCTTGCCAGAAGGAGGGAGCATGGTAGTGTGAGCGCAGGAGTCGTGGCAAGCTTTTGGAATCGACTGCTTTTCCGGGCATGCATTTGACAGTGCAGGTGGTATAGCACTGGTCTGTGCATTGCTGTACAGAGGTAACTCGTGGTTGCTGTGATGCTAAAGACTGTGACAGTGATGTGCCAATCGTGGTAATGGGTACCCATGGTGGACAGTGTTGGCTGGAGCTTCCCGACTAAATCAAGCCTGGAAGCAGGAGCGGCATCCACTTCCAAAATGGCTTGCCTCCGGAAACTCTATGTACGAACAGTGCCCAGGCCGTTTGTTCATAGGGTCGCTATGAGTCGTCTACGATTTGACGGCATCAAACAACAACAACAACAACAACAACAACAACAGAACAGTACAGAGATAGGGAACTGCCAGAAGTTCAAGCAGGATTTAGAAGAGACTGTGGCACCAGGTACAACATTGCTGATGTCAGATGGATCCTGGCTGAAAGTAAAGAATACGAGAAGAATGTCTAGCTATATTTTATTGATTATGCAAAGGCATGTGACTGTGTGGATCATAACAAGTTGTGGCTGACATTGAGAAGAATGGGAATCCCAGAGCACTTAATTGTGCTCATGTGGAACCTATACCTGGACCAGGAGGCTGTTGTGTGAAAAGAGAAGGGGAACACTGCATGATTTAAAATTGAGATGGGAGTGCATCGGGGTTGTATTATTTTTCCATACCTAGTCAATCTGTAATCTGAGCAAAGTATACAAGAAGCTGGACTCTATGAAGAGGAGTCTGGCTTCCTTGCTGAAAGTGAGGACTTGAAAACTCTGCAGTTGGGACCTCTCCAAATTATTAAGCAGTAAGGATGTCATTTTGTGGACAAACCTGTGTCTGATTCTGGTCATAATATTTTTGCTTACTTGCTAAGCATCTGAGAGCTGGACAATGAATGATAGAAAAAGAATTGACATCTTTGAGCTGTGGTGTTGGAGAAGAGCACTGAAGATCCCATGGGCAGCCAAGAGAACAAAACAGATATGCCATGGAGAGGGTGCAGCCGGAGGGCTCTTCAGAGGCAAGAATGATGAGGCTTCACCTCACATGCTTTGGGCATGTTGCTAAGAGGGGCTATATTGGAAGGCTGGAGGGTCAGTGAGGGAGAGGAAGACCCTCTACTAGGTGGAATGAGACGGTGACTGCTTGGGTGTCACAAAGTGTGGGGATGGCACAGGATGGAATAGGGTTCAGATCTTTTGTTCATAAGGTCGCTTTGAGTGGTATTTGACTTTGACAGCACCTAACAACAACAACAACAACAGCAGCAGCAGCAAGGCTAGGGTTGCTTTTGGACTTGATAGTGAGTTTGGACCTTTCACCTATCAACAGCTAAAGCCAGAGAGGAGGAAAGAGGATTCCTAAATGTTGCAGTCTGAAATTGACCAAACATGCCATCAAAGTGCACTAATAATTGGTGACAGTAATGCAAAAGTTGGATACAATGAGAAGGAACAGTAGTTGGAAAACACAGACTTGGTGGCAAAAATGAGGCTGGAGAACAGATTTTGTATATTCGTGGGACACAGGTGTTGGCGACGCGTAATTATAAATCTGCCCTTGCTGACCTGGTAAAGAGCGGAAACTGCGGTAGTAATACAACAGGAGAAGCACTCCACGGGAAGCCACTGCGACCCCCTCACCTCCCACACTCCCTGCTCAAGTACCCACACTCCACGGGCCAAGATGGCGCTCTCCCGGCGGCGGGCTCGGCGTGGGGCGGGGCCGCGCGCGTCACGCGTCCTCCCCGGCGGCAGCGCGCCCCCAGCGGTCCCCGGCTGGCGAGCGTAGATCTGCGACCACGCAGACGGCTCCTCTGCCCGCTAGGGGCGTCCTTCCCTGTCCCCGCACAGCTGCGAAGATCTCTCCCAACCCCGACAGCCCAGCCAGTGCGGGGCCAGAAAAGGAGGCGTCAGGCAGTGCTCAGGCAGAGAGGCTGCGTATTGGGATCCTCTGCAGCTGCGGAAGATCGGAGTACCAGCGAGGGGCAGGGCCTGAGGAGACCCTCCTGGCAGCGGCCTGGCAGGAGAACAAGGCTGCTGGGGAGATTCGGGGAATTCTGCCCTGGCCATGGGCGCCGTCGGAGACTTGGGGGTCCCCTCTGAGCTTCGACCACTTGCTTTGGGCATTTCACCACTTTCCCATCTCCATCCCTTATTTCGCCTGGCAGGAGTGAAAAATAGCTTCAGCCAAGTGTTCTCTCCCCTCTAACGAAAGAGTTCACCCGTGGAGACTTGAGAGAGATGCCTTGCCCTGCTGGGGGTGGCGGGAGCGGAGGCCCTCCTTGACCATCCAATGACTCCTGCTGTGTCTTGGCGCCTGCTAAGTGGGCTCGGCCGCGCTGGTCCCCGGGAGGAGGGACAGATGCCGCCGCTTGGCAGGCTCTGACCTTGCGGCTTTCAGGAGGCTACTGACAGGGACCCTGGAGGGAGCTAGCATGGGGCGCGGCCTCGTCCCCCTCGCTCCCCGCCTCCCGGGCGTTGGGGTTGGCGATGTGGAGACGTGAGGAGACCCGCCGGCCTTCCCGGCGTCACCAGTACTCCACCAGGCACCCGCGCGTCGCTCTCGGCGAGGAGAGGCAGGGTGCGGGGTTCCGAGGCGGGGGGCCGAGAGTGAGCTGGAGCCCCAGCCGCAGCCGCCATGGGGCGTAACGTGAGCTGGGTCTTCCCGAACGCGAGCGAGCGGCTCAACGCGACGGGCGCGGAGGAGGCGGGCGCGAACAGCAGCGTGCCCGTGGAGCCTGGCGAGGCGCAGCTGTACCGGCACTTCACCACCACCGTGCAGATCGTCATCTTCTTCGGCTCGCTGCTCGGTAAGCCACCCGTCGGGGCGCCTTTCTCACGGGGTTCCCCGAGGGCACCGGCTCGCCAATCAGGGCACGGACCGGAGTCACCAGAGCTGCAGTGGATTTCGGGGTGCTTGGGAAGTGCACTTAGGGAAAGGTTTAGGAATCTGGGAATTAATGCAGTGAAGTTAAAGTTAAGCAGGACGGCCAACTTCAGCTCTCACACTGGAAGCAGAGGAGTTCCAGGATTCTGTGTTGGCGCGAGGCTCAGTGCCTGGCTTAGGTGAAGAGTAGCCTTCGCAGGTGGACCTCACGCATCCGGATGGGATGGGATGGGTGCAAGGTTTACACATCATTAATTCCCAACAGGTGCTTCGGTGGAGCTCTGCTCTTATCTCTTACAAGTAGCAAGGAAGGAAGCTTCAAGGGTAGTTTGTTGCTGATGACTGGAATACGTGCTATTTGCTATTTTAAAGATGAATTTGGCGCTCGCATCCATTATTACCTATAAAATGATCTTTGTTTTATAAGATCATAATGTATAACAACAACCCTATTTTGTTATTTGCATCTTTGGAATACCGACCTGCTGTTAAGTTAAACTCTTATGTTGCCTTTAGATATTTAAAATAAAAAATCCCAACGCAAACTAAGACTCACTCAACTTCTCCACCCATGTTTTGCATCAAATAAAGATTGAAGACAGAATTAAAACATACACTTACACACATACATTTAGGTCAGCTTGTAGTGTAAAGAAAAGAAATGAGAGACTAGTAAAAACATTTGTCTCCTGCTGTGAGAATTCTGGATACTCCTGGTAGCTACCTACACTTTAAATGACATATGATACAACCAATATTGATTTGTACCAAGATATAGTAAACATACTACGTGTACATATGTGATCTCTTTTAAATAGCAATTCTCTGAGTAGCATTTATGAGGATGAGCAGTCTTAAAATGTCAAGGTAGAAGTGAGTAATTTTTTGTACACGAGAATTCTCATGGAAAATTGGATAAAAAGGCTATATTTGGAAGATTTCTGAGTATTCGGAATTTCCCTTCATAATTTCTCTCTTGGATCATCCTACCACACACTTTCACAATATCTGCCTTCCAGATTTCATCATGAGAGCGTTTTCATCATTTCATGGTGGAGTAGACAGTGGGCTATTTGTGGAGTGTATGAGTCTGTTTAAAGCTGTGTTTTTATGAATGGAATGTTAAATATGCATCAACAAGGTAAGAACCCGTGTTCCAAAGACTTTCAACTCATACTTAATAAACCACTTATTGAGCACCTACTAGATTCAGTGCATTGTGGATTGTCGATTTGGAGTTCAATTTCAGTAAGGTAGTACCTGACTGACGTGAGATTCGGTCCTGATGATGCCGCTGAAATGTCATTCTGATATAAATTGAAAACCTCATTTTAAGAAAGTTTTCATTGTTACTGCCTTTTATTATTAGTATCTTTATACATTTCCTTCTTATTTTGGGAGAGGTTGCCAAGGGAATAAAAATAACATCAGCAACGTTGTAAAGAGTTCATACTGCTAATGATAAGATGTAAAGGGGGGGAAATGGGATGTGGGAACCTTAAGTGCTAGTGGTAGGGACGTGAATATGTAAAAAATTGGATACTACTTGTATTGGTATATATATATATATATATATATATATATATATTAGACTTCCTTATAAGTGAATATACATTGAGTTCTGATACTTGTGTGTCTGTTTTTAATAAAGGTTTAGTGAAGTTTTGTATCTATACTGGAACTTGAGCTGTTTCTAGTCCTAAATGGTAGAATATTCCCTCTTCCAACTAACTGTTGCATTAGGTCCTAGGAATAGTACTGAAACGAAATTCCAAAATCTGGATCATGAAGACATGGCTCTTAGAGAATTGGCCATATAAAGTACTTGATAAAGAAGAAATAAACAAAACAAGCCATGGGCAGAGGCTTCATATACTTAGAAACGACAGGAAAGACATTAGTGTTTTGGTGTTATTTAAAACTTCACTTTGGGATAGATATAGCTTCAGCCTATCCACTATGATAACCCCTCCTCCCATTCCCCTATTTATCATAAAACTACTTAAATTTAAAAATGTATCTCCTCAAGCACTTTAATTTTTGAATGTTTGTTTTAATATGACTTGCACATTGGGTGGTGATCATTAGATCATTACAAACAGTTCTGGTGGATGATGCTGATTTAGATTATAGACCTAAGAGCTATCTGACTTAGAATTATTATTTTCATTTAGCTTTTGCATTTTCTTTTGGAAGAAAATAAGGTATAATATTGTTTAAAAAATTGTAATGACTTTGGAGACACTTAGAATTATATCAACCATTTCTGCAACTAGACTCACCCTTACTAGTGTTCCCAGGTGTGATGCAAACAATTATATGATAGGCAAATAACTGAAAGATTGGTGGTTGACTATGAGACAAAAGGTCTGATTATCTACTTCTGAAAGGTCATATCCTAAACCACGGAGTGAGTAGGTCTATTCTGCATGCATTGAGTCACTCCTAATCAGAATCAACTTGAGGGCAACCAATAACAACAGCTAACATGAACATAGTGCCTTTTAGGTGACAGGCATTACTTTAATTGTTTTCATCTGCTTCTGAATCCTTCTGAGAACTCTATAAACTTATAATACTGTTAATATATTCATTTTACATAGAAAGTGAGTGAGATACAGAGAAGTAACTTTTCCATAGTCACTGAACAAATAAGTAGCAGTTGATTACACCCAGGAGGCAATGTGTGTGTGTGTGTGTGTGTGTGTGTGTGTGTGTGTGTGTGTGTGTGTGTTTACAGTATTGTCAGTATTGTTTGATGTTCCTACAATGCAGTTTATTGTTACTGTTTAGAAAACGTCAATCTTTTTTCTTTCTGGACGAATTTTGTAACAACGAAGTATACATTTTACACTGATCCTTGCAATCCAATGCAATCAAATGCACATACAGACCCTAGTTACCTAGTAGGTAAGGAGTTACATTGCCAAACCAAATGCAGTGCAAATCCGCCAGCTTCTTTGAGGGCTCTTCAAAAGGAAGGTAGTTTCCTTCCATGCTCTTTACAGTCTTCTGAAAATCTGGATGGTAAGCCATGAGTCAGTGCTGACTTGAGAGCAATGAGTGAGTGAGTAAGTAAATGAGTGAATGTATGTAGCCTATTCTAGGTGTGCAGCTATGGCTAGGTCCGAGTCAGGAACCTAGAGCAGGAAAACTGGCACAACATTGTTCCATCGTGGGCAGAGCCATGCTTTAGATAGAAAGGTGGGGAAACAAATGAGATAATTGATAACTTTACCTCTGAAGAAAAAGGTAGGAAGAAGTTTTCCTGTAATTTGATTCAAAAAAATTTGAATACTATTGAACTAGAAAGCAGAGCATGTATATAAAGTACATAGCAAAATAACTTCAAAACACCAAACCCAAACAAAGCCAACCCAAAATCCTCCAACACTCAAACGCATAGTGTAGATTCCAAATCAAGAAGACCCTCCCTTGGATTTTGAAGCAATAAATCTTAATAGGAGCCCAGTGCCACATCTTTCTCCCTTGAAAGGGCTGATGGGTCCAGATCACCAGCCTCTTGATTAATGATCCAACATGTAAACTCACTGTGCCATCAGGACTCGTTTCATAGGAGAAAGTCGAAAATAATGTTATTTTGCTTCCCAAATCCTGCATGGTCATGTAATTTATGTTGAATTTAGGGATCCCTAGGCAAATCTGCAGTTATTTCTACATGACACTTTAAGCAATGTACACAACTGCTTTTGTGAATATCTCCAAAAAGAAGACTTACTTTCCAGCTGATATTTGGTTATATTTCATTTGGCTTAGAGAGTACGAACTTTTCTCCTCACATTTTACTTGGATCTCCTAAGTGACAATTCCATTCCTTTTTTATTCTCAGAAAATACATAAATATGGATAAGTTTCTAGAAATCAGGTCAGAAAACTTAAGCAAAAGTGAATAGCATTATTTCTGACTTCATGAGAAGTTTACCTGAATTTTAACATTGCCTTGTGTACTTCTTACTTACTGACAGTCTTGATTGACTATTCTTTAAGGATTTACCCCATACTGGCATAATTCCATACATTGAATTATCCTGGTAATGCCAACTGGGTCCCAGAGCTTAAGTTCCAAAGTCAGACACGTATAATGAATTTCAGGGATAGAAGTAATTTTTTTTCTATAATTATATTTTATTAATTTTCATAAACATTTACAGAGATTTTGGGTTTCCATTCATTCATTGTTGCACTATTCTCTCTACCCTCCTCCCAGTTTGTTCTTGTCCAAATGCCACAGTGCTTGTCAAAGCCAGTTCTGATTAATCTTCTTTGTCAGTGTGTCCTTTGCCATTCCCTATCACTCCTCCCTGAGAGAGACTTCACCCTGAGTCATAAGGAATAGAAGTAAATTTGAGAAGTATTGTTTATGGAGCCTGAAAACAGAGAAAAAGCAGTTTATTAGTAAAAAAGATACTCATGTTGTGTGGAAGAATAATTTATATGCTTGAAAAATGCATTTTAAGGAAAATGCAGTTGAATCTAGAATAGCCTATGAGAATTAGACAACTCTGTTTATTTCTTCTGTCACCAAACATAGATAAATAAGTTTTTTTCTACTTTGAAAGAAATTCAGATGAATCTTCATTGTTCTCTCAAAAGAATGTCTTCTTCATTGGCATTTCCAAAGCAAGCAAACAAACACCTCAAATTCATTGCCTTTGAGTTGATTCTGGCTCATAAGGACACTCTAGCACAGAGCAGAAAAGCCTCATTGAATTTCCAGGGCTGTAAGTCTTCACAAAGGTAGACTGCCACATTTTTATTCCATGTAACAGCAGGTAGATTGGAACCATCAGACTTTTGACTAGTAGCCAACATTTAATCCATTATATCATTGATGCCCCTTTGGGATTTCTAGAGGTCTAGTATTATGTAAAAATAATTTTTTGTACTGTTGATGTCCTGAAG